AAAAGCATTGATACAACTAACATGTCTTCCAGTGTAATTCTTGGAGCTTCACTAAAGCTTCCCCTAAATTTAGGCTAAAACCCTATGAAGTCTCATACCCAGGGAGGTGGTGAGGACTATTTGGCTGTCCATGCGAGGTAAAAAGCTTCGGTCACCAGTCTTTTGATGTTCTAATGCCGACTGGACAGGCCCAGATTCAAAACAGTGTGGTAAAATTACAATTTCTGAGAAGAACTCTGTCGGGCTTTCCTGCTCCAAGCCACGGTCTTTCAGCACAGGCCGCTTGATCCATGTGGATTTACTGTCCCTTTCCCAACCAAACCCAATACTGTAAACAAGACTCACTTGATCAAGAAACACTCTGAAAACCACTGTCATTGTTACAAAGGACAGCGTACCACTATGATAACAATCACCAGGGTTTCCCAGTCCACCTTCTGAAACAACTTACTGGGATGGGGAAGATACCTGCCACTGTCGGAATATCGAGAACACCCTTTTTGATTTGTCATGAGGACCCTGGATGAAAAAAAAACAGGGCATTAGAGTGATGAAAATGATTGCTTTGGCAAAATATAGATATGTCGTATTTGGTTCACCTGAGATGGACTGGCCCCCACTGGACTGAGGCTTTTCTTCATGGATAAGAACAGAGTAAGCACTGCTTTCCAGCCTGGCTGAGGGACCTCAGCCTCACAGCCAACGAAGACAGAGCCGTCTAGATTGCCCTCCTCTCTTTCCACACTCACCCAAGGACACCAGTCTCTGTGCTGGGCTACTGGGTCAAACACATTTCTGTGCATGGGCCCTTCCTATAACAGAAAAACAAAACAGGTTTTAGTGCTTCGATATGGTGTTTAAAATTTAATAGTGTTTGTCCAGGTAGTAACAAACATAAAATGTATGTATAGCAATATTATATCGTTCTATAGTAATAATAACAACTTTATATACAGTAATAATAGTAACAGACCCTGTGTGTGTATAAAAGAAATAGAGTACATATTGAGTTATGTTGACAAACAAAATATATTTAATAACGTATCATTCTACAATCATAATAATAGTAATAATATAGTAAAACATTATTATTATAATAGAAGTTATTATTAGTACATTTAAAAAATAATAATAGATTGTCCTTACAGGGCCACTGGCAGAGGAGAGACGTGGCCGTTTTGTCTTTCGCTGTGGACTGGAGGGCACATCCAGAGCCAGGTTATCTCCTTGGCCCCTGCTGCGAGTCATGGGTCTCTTGCCCCTGGACAGAGGGCTGGGAAGCTCCTCATGTGGGATAGGCGAGTCCCTGCTTCTGGCGCGGTGGACCAGTGGGGATGGTGTACTCTCCATCTACATGCATGTTGACATAGTTTAGATGGTTATGACTGAAGAACGGAATATATTGGGCATTGCCAGTTTTGTTTGTATAGAAATTACACACTTAAACTTTTACTATATCCAGATATACTGTATAATGTCACAATGTGAAAGACCCACCTGCTCAGAGCGTGTGGAGTCTTGACTACGCAGCTTCATGCGACATGGAGTGGGGGATTGGGATGGTGAGGGGGGCGTCCCCTTTTCCCCACTGGTGCCTTGAGATGGAGTCAAGGCGGTAGTAGATGTGGGAGACTGCGGAGGGTTTTCGCTCTCTGAAACGGTCTCCATTTGATAGAAGTTCCACATTCCTACCTTTCTCATGCAGTAAGAACAAGTGAGGATGGGCAGATTCATAGCGTGGCGAGACGGGCTAAATGGAAACATGGAACGAGTTAGGTGAAACAAATGTTCAACAGAAAATTTGCCAAGATTGGATCAGACGTGACTGGTTGGATGTTTACCTGGCTGCCCAACCACAAAGAGCTATGATGCATGCTGCCACCTGTACAGAGAATGGATCTGTTGAGACCTTAGAAGGAGAACCACCCTGCTTCACTTGTTCATCTTCAATCAGCTTAAGGAGGACAATTATTACATCTTCAGTCAAGGTCTGAGAAAAAACAACAACAACAAAAAACTAAATTATGAATGCACAGAAGAATTATTCTTGGACTTCCCTTTAAAATAAGACATCATACCATGGCTTTTAGTTGCTCTGGCTTCATAGCAGGCAGCTGCTGTTCTAGAAGGCAAGCACTCTTGTAACGGTCTAGAAAGGCACTGAGTAATACCGTAGGCTCATTAATAGGAACCATCCAGAAGCGATCTGGAAAACAAACCACACTATTTACTAGCAATGTCTGATTAAGATTTCAGACAGACTAGTAGACCTCTCAAGATACCTGGACATGGAAAATCTGGCCAGGAACAGAATTTCTCATGTTGCGTTTGAAGCTGCTGTAGCAACTCCGAAATCCGTCCTTCATCTAAAAAAGGAAAAATTAATAAGTGAATGTGTGCAGATACAAAATATGCCTTCACTCTAGAATATAAATAATCCAAAACTTACATTTCTGGAAGTCCAAGGTTGCTTGGATTGATGCACAGAGGAAAGCCTGGCAACTAGAACACTTCAGCATGTCACAGTCTACATTGATCCAACCATACCGCGCACATCTGAGCGGCGAGAGCGCATGGGGCTTTCCGGCCCATTTCAGACAGTGCTTATGTTAAGGATGAATTTTGCAAAAACAATAAATGAGAGACCGGTGTCTTTTCTTCCTTATTTTGAATTATACCCAAGTGAAAAAATTTGGGGCAGAATATTAGTAATACACACTGCAACATTCTGGCCAAAAAAAAAAAAAAAAGAACTCAGTTCTGATTTCATTGTGACGAAGTCTGTCAGATTATAAGGATGTTTTTATTCATCACAGATTGTCTGGCAGAATTTAATCACAATCATCACATTAGATGTGTGATTTAACATTTTGAAATCAATGAAGAATCAATGGGCTGAGTTTATGATTAATCTTTATACCAGGAATGCAATTTATTATGCAACACAAACTGGTTGTGAGCTTCTCGCATCAAGCAACACTCAAAAGGATATCGAGTAGGATTCCACTCTGTTGAAAAATGCTTCTTTGTTTGCTGCTTCACAAGGAGCTTTCCCAAGGCCATTTGGAGACAGTGTGTTTGGATCCTGCTGTGAACTGAGATATGGGGAAGAAAGTCAATCAGCCTAGTGTGTTATGCATAAACTATGCAGCCAATATTCACGTTAATCCATATTTTCCAGGCATAAATAGAATCTAAGTGCCTTTGCAGCACTTATTTAATTCTAACAGGAAAAACATGCATGCTAGTCCAAAAACATCCATCAATCGTGCATCACTCTACAGAAAAATACGTTATAAGATTTTAATTTGGAACACGGTGGTAGACCAGGTCCAACTGCCATGTTTCAAAAGCCAGCTTGATAAACTGGTAGCTGGTTTGTGGCTGGTCTAAGAAGGTCTATCAGCTAGAAACCAGCTACAGGTTGACAGGTAGATTGGTAACGTGGTTTGTTTCTAGTCTAAAGTCTAACTGGTAGTCTTCTTTTGCTGGATGATTTGCCAAGACTTACTAGCAGTGTGCATTAGTTAATGTTTATTTTGGATCATCTCCCACGTTCCAAAACACAACTACCATTTCAGTTCAATTTTCCACCAGGGTTTACAGTAAAAGCTTATCCGTTTGCTAAATTGTTCACCGCCCCTGCCCTATTTTCTTCGCACACATTCTCACCTTTTTGCAACTTTTTTCTCATTATAGCGGAACTCTTACCAATTTAACACGTTGTCTTCCGAAGCGACCCCTTCGTTGAGAAGTTCTCGCACTTTCAGGGGAGATACGAGTGGAGATTTGCTTTGTTTTTCGCCGTTTTCTGGGCGATTTGCAAGGCTGCCGAGCGCCGCCATGTTCGGTGTCTGTCTCTAAACCCTCCCGCTGCAAGATATCAATTATCAACATTTTTACACAGTTCCGCCCCCTCCATTACTAAAACGTACCATCGTAACAGTTTAGGACACTTTCTGTCATTTTGCAAAAAATACTTATTTTGATGACAGTGATTCCTAACACCAAAATAATAATAATTTAATTGTTGTAACAGTTTCTTCAGCACTTCTACCATACTGCTGCATTCCATGATCTTGTTTTGTTTTCATATAAACATTGTTCCTCATTAACATATTAGTTGTTAATCAGAGACAAATAAATACAAAAGTATACGATTTAACCACATATACAATTTGTAAATATGGGGATTGAATTATGAATTATTTGTTAGGCTAGTGTTACATTCATTTGATACAAACAGGTGGTTTGTGCAGTAACAGATAACATTTATCAGTTTATGAAAGAGACATTTGTTTTTCTGTAGTCAGTCCAACTCATTGTGAGTAGATACTTTCAGCTGAGATACAAGTTGAGTTGAGCCGGGAACAAAAATAACCACACCAAGACATGTCTCATATTGGTGTTTGACGCAATGGATTTTAGAAGAGTGAAAACATGACATGAAACAGCCTCTTTGGCATTCAATGGAAGGAAGCAAACAGAATTGCACTGTCAGACTGCAGTTTGTGTTGTGAAAAGATTTTACATTTCATAAGTCCCTTCTCAAATATAGGCTTATCTAAGCCGCTCTCAACAAAATTCTTATTAACTGACCATTTACAACAACAACAAAAACCAACTTGCTTAAAAGTTGTTCAGTTTTTTCCCTAGGTAAACAGTCCCTATTTTGCTGATTTGGTGAATAATAAATTAACTTAATTTTGAAATTAATGTATGGCATTTGACATGACATTTAGTATAACATAAATCTAAAATATCAAAATATAGTTTATGCAACAGCATTTTTTAGGATTGGACATTTTTGGGTGAGCTTGAAGTATTTAGACCAAATTTATCAAAATTGTACAACTCAAAACACCCGGCATTACATTGTTTTTTATTTCTTGGTTCCATTATTGTAAAGTTTGACGTTTATTATGAAGACTTTTATTTTGAAAGGCATAAAAACCATCCAATTATGTCTGATTATTTTCATAGCTTGTGTTTTTTTGGGGCCATCTTGAAGGTTTTTACCAGCGTTTCTGCCTTCACGTTCATTGCAAAGGAGATCCGGTCAGGTCCATCTATTTCATTTTAAACGACTCTTCCAGGGGAGAATGGGCTGAGTTATGCTCTGCGGTTCGCCTCTGTCTGCTGAAGGAAGCCCCGTCGTCTGCGAGTGCGTGTAGGTGGATGATTTCAGCGTGATTTCTGGAGCGATGTCTGCCGCAGAAGCAGCGCACAGCCCGGACAGACTCAATCAGTTTGAGCGGCTGTCTGGAAGGCCTCCGCTAAGAGCCGCAGGTCAGTGAGGACTCGGTGAAGAGCTTGAATTAAGCACAAAAATAACATTATTTCTTCCAGAAACGCCCATTTTCTTTCTATTTTATCACGAAATAAAGCACAGTTATTTTATATTGCACATCTCTTGCGCTGCTAGCATCTAACGTTAGCGTTAGCCGTGTCGCTAATGGCTTTGTTTTGATTACAAACTTTAAAAATTCACATGTGTTATTATTATGTTTATCGCATATTATATTTATTACATTGTAGTCGTCATTTTATGTTAGTTTGTCTATCAAAAAGTTGCATTAAATACTGATAGCTTGTGGATCTAGCTTGACAAGTTCATTTGCATTTTAGTTAACGTTACTGCTGTCAGACTTATGTAAATGAAGTGATAGGAATATTTTTAATACTTTTATATCTGCATTTAGCGTTTCATTATTTTTAATCAACTATTTGATCAGCTTGTCAAGTGCCAATATACTACGAAAGGTGCCAATATAGATATTAAAATGTATAATAACAGTTGATGCTTTAACTCTAACGTAAGCACTTGGTTTCCAGATTTAATTTGTTTCAGCCATAAATAAACAAACCTGTTTGCAGTCGTTTTATACTTGTTAGCATAATTATCTACTGTATAAATGGGGTAGATTTGTAACTAAAATATTTATTTATATTTCTAGATTAAATGTTGAAGTTAAATTCTGTTTGCATGTTTGACTAAATGATTTTTAATGCACACCAGGAGTAAAAAGAATGGATGTGGCAAGGCTTATACACAGAATTACTCGGTGTTTAGTGTAATGTCTATAATTCAGGGATGTATTTCACTTGGTCGTTTGTTTGGACCGTTAACTAGTGCCACAGATGAGTAAATAAAAGCCCAGCTCTGTCATAGAGTCTGGTTCTACTCAAAGTCGTTGTGTAAATATCCCGTGAGCTTTGCTTTTTTTTATTTTTTATCTTTAATCTGTAAGACATAAGCAGCATGCAATTGTTTCTGTAGCTGTAGTGCATTAAAACAGTGCTGCCGTGTCGCTTTAGGACATTTAATGATATTCAACCACCCATCTCATAGCCTGCAGCTCTAGCCATCTGTATCCTCCTTTCTGTTTATATATGATGAGTGATTAAAAAAATCTACAGTGAGCACATCTATTCGTCACAGGCTTCATGGATTAGAACGAACGCAGAATGTTAAATGGTATGCAAAGGTTGTTCTAAACATGTATTTTGAGGCTGTTGGGTGTCATGCACAATACACACTTCTCATGTGGAGGCAGCTGGTTTATTGTAAATGTTTCCCTCAGATGATGTTTTGCATATGACAATCTTAAAAACCTCAAATCTAACCATGTGACTTGATTGGTGCAATAGTAATATGTGCTGTTGTGGCCGGCGGTTTTCATGTCTTCAGTGGACATCTTCGGGTTGTCTTTTGAGGGGGCTTACTGTCTGTTCTCACACTTTGGGTGACTTTTGACTTCTAACCGCCCAGAACGTTTTAGCAAATGCATAGCAATGCTCTGTCAAACATCACTGGTGTACAACTATTGTTTGCTTTCTGTGGAGTCAATAGAAACCAGTACATATGCTTAAACCAAAGCAAACCAGTTATCAGTGTGTTTTCAATTGTTTCCAAACATTGAATTCAGATGTATCAACATAGTACATTAAACAGAGTTCCAGTGGGCATGGAAAAGCTGTAAATATTAGGATTTGTTTTTTTGCAGGCCGGGAAAAGTCATGGATTTAATAAAAAATTATATTTGTAAGTAAATATACATTTTTGTTAATCTCTTAATTATTTTTTGTGTATGAATTGCCAGTCTCTGTAAAATGCCCTTTAAAAATAATTTTCCAGTAATCACAAACACAAATTAATTGGTTACATGGTGTGGAAACCCTGATTAAATCCCTCTTTAAGTGACAGAAAGTTTTATTTATTTTTTTATGTTTTTGAAAGAAGTATCTTATGTTCACCAAGGCTACATTTTTATAATCAAAAATAGAATAAAACGGTAATATTGTGAAATATTATTACAGTTTAAAGTACATGTTTTCTATTTTGTTATATTTTAAAGTGCAATTTATTCCTGTGATGGCAAAGCTGAATTTCAGCAGCCATTACTTAAGCCTCAAGAAACATTTCTAATAATTTTGCTTAAATTGTGATACTCAAGTTTTTTTTTGATAAATAGAAAGTTCAGCTGAACAGCATTTATTTATTTGAAAGATCTTTTGTGACCTTGTAAATGTCTTTGTGACTTTTGATCAATTTAATGGATCCTTGCAAAAAAAAAAAAGATGAAAAGAAAAAAATTACAAACCTCAAACCTTTGAACGTTATAAGTAACAGTGTCAAAATTGCGATATCTGCAATATCCTAATAAGATAAGATAAGATTGTTTTTGTTATTGTCCCGATGGAAATTTGTCTTGGACGCATACAATACGATATCTTCTGTTTAGTACGAATAATATATCTAATATATCCTAAATACTGTGTTTTGGGTTTGATAATGGGGAAAATGTTTTTTTTTCACCTTTGTTTTCTTGTCATAACTTTCCTCCCTTCTTCAGACAGGAGTATTTTGTTTTGTCATGGTACAAATGTACATGTTTTCTTTTTTCCTGAGAATATTGTTCATACACTAGTACCAAATGGGCTTTATGCTGCTTTTACATGCTAGTGAACTCTTAAGTATATTGTGGTCCTTTTAAATGCGCCTCTTAATGTTTTTCTTGTCTATTGCACAGATTACTTAAACTGTGGAACGTGTGCATCGAAAAGTTTTTATTTCCCCGTGAGATGTGACATACCAACTCACTTTATTGTACATTAGTCTTTCTCTATTCCCAAAAACCCATTTGTTGACCCCTTGAGTGTTGGGCAGGGTGTTTGTCTGTTTACGTTGTCCTTTTGTTGTTGTTATTTTGTCTGTCTGACTGCGGTAATTGTGGTAACAGGCTCTAAGAAGAGAGTTTCCTGGGTACAAGCTCGAAGACTCCTTGGCCAGCCCTGCCCCAGTCTACGGATCCCTAACAGGTTTTTAAGAGAAGGTGGGTAATAGGCGAAATCTGCCTTTAACTGAACTTCAAAAAAGAAAACCCACATGGCAAATCTGGAGGCCTCCCCATGCTGTCCCCACCCTCCCTCTCTTCAAAACTGCTTTTCCTCACTGTGGTGAAAAAAAAAGACCACCGCTCTTTCGCCAGGGCTCTTTCTGCTACGCTTTCATTGGGGGCAAAGCTGGGGCAGGATGGCTTGGGTGTTAAATAAAAAAAACGGGAAAGGTCAAAGTGTTCGTCTGGTTGTGAATGATGTCTTTTTATTTTTATTGATTTGTCAGTTGTTGTTGTTTTTTTTTCAGTTCCCTCCCATCCTTATTAGCTCTTCCCTGTGATGCTTTCACTCAGGTGAAGCGTCTGGGTTTCAAGGCAAATTCACTTGCAAGAAATTTGCAAGGGTGAGGTTGCTAGCTTGCACGTGCTGTAGTGGACATGTGGACTGTGCAGATCAATTATTTTCAGAGATTCAAAAGATGAATCCACCAAGTTGGGTGTCAGCTTATCAAAGTTTTGCACACTGGGACAAAAAAAAGATGTATGCAAATGTTACAATACCTTTTGCCCCTTTTGGTTAATTATAATATTTTATATTTCTCTCTCTCTCTCTTACATTATTGAAAGGTTTGGGATATTAATTTATTAGGTGAATAATTTTATTATTATTCAGTCTATTATTATGCGTTTTATTGTTTTTTTTTTTAGCTTTTAGTCAGGTATAGTGTAAATACATTTTTTAAATAACTTAATGTTACTTTTGTCCATATATATACTATGTATGTACATATTTGTTTTTCCAGTAATCTTCTGTTATACATAGTTCGCACTAAAAATATTTAAATTAAGTCATTGGTGTTTGGTGATGAATTTTTGGCTCAAGGTCTGCATTTAAAGTCACACCAGAGGTCTCATGGAAATTAGGTTGAGGTTCTCATGGAAATTACTAAAGTAGTCAAACCTGTGCATTATATGGTCAATACTTTATAATATTTTATATTTATATATTTCTCTCTCTCTCTCTCTCTCTCTCTCTCTCTCTCTCTCTCTCTCTCTCTAAAATTTTCATATATTTAAAAATGTATTGTGTTTTCGTTTTAATAGTATTTTTATATGTATACATTTATTATGACAAATGTTATTGATTATAGTAATAATAAATAGAAATAGATATATTAAATATTGTTTATTATACAAATCATAAAGTTGTGTGTGTATATATATATATATATATGTA